TTCTGTCAGACCTTTCCACCATGACCTGTCCGTCTTGGGTGGCCCCACACGGCATGGCTTAGTTTCATTGAGTTAGACAATCTGTGGTCCATGTGATCAGATTGGCTAGTTTTCTGTGATTTTGGTTTCAGTCTGTCTGCCCTCTGATGCCCTCTCTCAGCGCCTACTGTCTTGCTTGGGTTTCTCTTACCTTGGACATGGGGTAACCTCAGATATAACCTCAGATATGCAGATGACACCACCCTTATGGCAGAAAGTGAAGAAGAACTAAAGAGCCTCTTGATGAAAGAGGAGAGTGAAAAGTTGGCTTAAAGCTCAACATTCAGAAAACTAAGATCATGGCATTGGGTCCCGTTACCTCATGGCAAATAGATAGGGAAACAGTGGAAATAGTGGCTGACCTTATTTTTTTGGGCTCCAAAATCACTGCAGATGGTGACTGCAGCCATGAAATTAAAAGACGCTTACTCCTTGGAAGGAAAGTTATGACCAACTTAGACAGCATATGAAAAAGCAGAAACATTACTTTGTCAACAAAGGTCTGTCTAGTCAAGGCTATGGTTTTTGTAGTAGTCATGTATGGATGTGAGAGTTGGACCATAAAGAAAGCTGAGCACAGGAGAACTGATGCTTTTGAACTGTGGTTTTGGAGAAGACTCTTGAGAGTCCCTTGGACTGCAAGGAGATCCAACCAGTCCATCCTAAAGGAGATCAGTCCTGGGTGTTCATTGGAAGGACTGATACTGATGCTGAAACTCCAATACTTTGGCCACCTGATGTGAAGAGCTGACTCATTTGAAAATACCCTGATGCTGGGAAAGATTGAGGGCAGGAGGAGAAGGGGATGACAGAGGATGAGATGGTTGGATGGCTTCACCGACTCAATGGACATGGGTTTGGATGGACATGGGCAATTGGTGATGGACAGTGAGGCCTGGTGTGCTGTGGTTCATGGAGTTGCAAAGAGTTGGACACGACTGAACAACTGAACTGAATAGTAGTCCACAAAGCCAATTAAATACATTCTAAAATTTGATAGTTATTAAATATGGAAAATGAAGAAGATTCAGGGAACACCAGTATTTCAAACTGCATCCGTTTGGCCCCTGGGGATTTTTGACACCCTGGGCAATGCCAGGATGGGGAAACAGCACTGTAGGTCCACTCAAGGAAGCCAAGATTTGGAAATTGACTGTCTTTGAATAAAACGTGACCAAGAACTCTTGGGAAGTCTTCGTGTAGCCCCACTATGAAGACTGCTGGGCTAGCCCACTGCACTGCATGTGACAGGGTCCATGGCCAGCATGTGCCCTGTCACTGGGAGGTCAGGCTTGATTGAAATCTCTGCTCTACATGGTACCAACCCCCAAATACCATGTCTAATTCTAACACTGCTCTCCACAAATGACCAGAGCCTGTGGCCTTGCTCTGAATAACCCTTTAGGCATTAACGACAGGGGCAAGCACTTGGACACAAGAAGCAAAGATTTATTAAAAAGAGAGAGTCTTTCCAAATGGATCCCCCCACCCACCAGGAGATTGGATTTGCCTACATCTTGGGGTTGGGGTTTTTATGTATTGGGACAGTTTCCCTTACAAACAGTGCCCTGTTGTGTGTTCACCTAACTTTCCTGTTTGACCAACTCAGGAAATCAGCCGGATCACATTCTCATCTGGTCCATGAAAGACAAGAAAAGGTTCTCTTCTGGCCGCGGACTGACCCCAGTGTTGTCCTGAGTTTTTAATTTTGGGTGGGGGCGGGGGCGGGGAACAGGGTGAGTGGTGATAGATTCAGTTGAATCGAGAGCTTCGAATCTGTCATCATCTTTAGTGAAACTTCCCTCAGTGCCCCTGACCTGCAAAGCATACTTTTGACCTTCTTCTGAACTGAACTCAGGACAGCTGTGAACATTTTGTGCAGTTCCTTTGAAACTTCAGGTGCTGCCAGTGCAAGACAATGGCCCTGTGTTCTTCCCTGGTGGGTCTGTGGGATCAGGACCATTGCTGGCGCTCAATGGGATTTGAGGCAACTGACTTCCGTGTATCGAAGTTTGCGGTGTCCAGGTGTCACTTCTGTCTAGGTGTGTGTTGATAAATCAGCCCTGACTTTCTCTTTTATTTCTTTGCAGTGAAATGCAAAATGGAGGACGAGGAAGAGGCTGCAGCTAAGACTCCACAACCTTAACAGCTGTCGGCATCTCTCCCACTCTAAGCTCCAATCACCCAACTGGAGGACAGTGTTCTAGCTATGCTTCCTCTATTGTGTTTTCTTGAAGGACTAGATCTGGTACATTAGGATAAGGATCTTTTTGTTGCAAATATATTGTAGTGCAAATAGTTTATCAAGTAGTTTTAACTTTCTGCATTATCCCCCAATTTTATTCTTTCATCTGTCTATTTCTTCAGCGCTCCAGGAATATACTTCTACATCACCCACTGCTAAAATGTACAACGAACTAGTTCCAAGGGATGTTGAAATGTTCTAGTTACAAGCTTCTCACTTTTGGTTGCCTTTGCAAAGATCCATGTTTAAAATAAAGTCCCAAACCTCTGCAGTGGGTTTAAGTATATCAGCTGAGCATGCTTTAAAAAAAAAAAAAAAAAAGACATCATTGCCTGTGATCCTTTCACAAGGAGGTTGACCCTGAACTTTGACTGCAAACCTAGCAAGATGCTTAAACACAGGCAACTATAACAGATAAATAAGTTTTGTTGTCTACGCCCTAAAACATTATAGAAAGTTCCTCATTTCATGGGTAAACTGATTTATTATCTTCAATTGTTCCACAGTTTGCTGTTACCCATTTTTGAATGGATTTTCCCATTCAAAATGCCACAGAATTAGCCTCCAGGCAAATCTGAAAGCCAAACAGTTGTATGGGATTGTTTTGACAAGCTACCACACGTCTTAAGTAAATAGTAAAGCCTTTATTTTTTGTGTTAAGAACAGTATTTTGAAAATAAAACCTATCTGCCCATGCTTTACAACCTTTTAAATCTGTAATATTATATACAGTCGTTTATGATACATGTTGATTGTCTTGAAATTTCTTTAACGATGTTTTTTTAACGTATGCAACAGTCAGCCAGGGGAGGATAAAAGTACATTATAAAACACACATTAATACATTTAATAAATATATATTATCTATCAAAAACGAGCCTTAGCTCTTTATCAATTAATAAGAAGCACCTGCTGAGAACTCCTGTAAGCTGGTATAATCATTGCATCATCGGATTACAAAAGCCACAATGCTCCCTTCTGGTTCAGGGTTCAGCTCCGCCTTGCCTAACCAGGAAGACCACCCCCACTTCGCCCATGTTTCCTGGACCCTGACAGAAACTGTGCCAAAACAACGGATCCCCAGCTTGCAACAACCAAATCTGCAACCCTTGAGACACACAGAACTTCCCAGTCTGTCATTCCCTCTCTCCCTCCCTGCTTCCATCTCCAGGGGAGGAATCCAGCACAGAATAACCATTTCCTATTAAAGGGGAGAAAGAGTGGCTGTTAGAGTCCCAAAGTGATTTTGATAACTGGATCTGGAAAGAGTTGTGCTTACAATGAGGTGTTTTGATCACAGAAGCTCTCCTTCCTGGTCATTCTCCCCCAACATCTTGTTTACAACAGATCTGAAACAGCAGTGCCATTTAATTTTGTATTTAAACTTCACTCAGTGGGGGCAGGGGCTGCCACAGTCTCTTGGCAAAGATGTCTCTTCTACCCTTCAGGTGAAGTCCTTAGAAAGAGAACAGTTTACTGCCCTCCCCCTCACTCCCTGCCTCCCACCCACCTCCGCTGGGAGAGCACTCAGCTCCCTCGTGACCTTAAAGCCAAAATAAAACCCAGAAGCGCAAAAAACTATCAGAAACTTGAAAAGAAAAAGTTCTCATTAAGTGAGGTTTCCTGTGGCTCAAAGCCAGTTCTATTTTTGCGGTGGTGAAACATTGCTTTCCGCTTGCAGCCATCTTTGCTGTGTTCACCATGCACGCTTAGACTACCAAGAACTTAGAGCATGATCGTGTGAGTTCTCTGCTCTGCAAGGGGAGGGGGGGTGCTCTTGCAGCCTGAGTCCCTGATGGGATCAGAGAGCTCCGAAGGACTCCAGGGAGCAGGGGTGAGCCACTGTTTCCTGGCACGAGAACGTGTAAGGCGGTCGCTTTTCACCGGACTGGACCGAGGTGTTCGGAGATTTCTGTGATTTGCAGAATTCTAGGTCCACATGCATCCGCCCACACCCCCAACCCCAGCCCAGGTCTTAGCTTCCCCCCCCAACCCCAGTACTCCCCGTGGTAGTCCCCCCGGGGGCCCTCCTGGCACAGAGGTCTCGGATTGACTTCCCCAGGTCGGGTATGCCCCGTCTTCCCCATGCTGGCAACGCGTGGAAATGGGCTACCTTGGAGGGCCACAAGGGGGCCAGATTGGCCTCCCTACCCGGGTGTGCTGCAAGGATGGGGACAGGGGAGGGCGAGGATGGGACACAGCAGACTAGGGCCTCAAGAAAAATCAGAAGGTTTATTAAAACATACTCAGCTCAGACATATTGGCTTTTGAAGAGGTCAGTTTCCCCCCAAACACTAACCTTTTTCATTTTCTGTGAAGGTTAAAGGCTTATGGGTTGTTTTATAGAGGAAAAAAAAAAAAGCAATACAGTGACTAGAGTATATGCAAAAAGACCCACCCTCATTTATACATTCCGTGCCGTCAGGTTAAAACTCTTTGCTTTGAATCATTGCCTGCGATTATGCTGGCCAAACAGTGCAGAGAACATGGGGCTTTTAATGGCCGAGATGTCTGAAATGCCAAATAAAGGAATGACTTGCTTAGGACAGATGGAAACCATGACAGAAACAATGGCTTGGAAGAGAACCATTTTCATGGAACTTGCAGAAAACTGAGACAAAAATGTCCCTCAGGCCCTCCCAAAGCAGCAAGAAACCCTCATGTGCTCCACCCAACCCTGGAGCTTTCACTACGTCCGCAGAGAAGTCCCAAGAACTCACTGCTTGCCAGGCAGCCGGCATGGCCTCTCCACCCGGGGGTACCCCTGCCGCGTGACAGCATTGCGGAAAATCCACCCCGGCATCTGCCCCCTGGCCAAGCCACGGGGCTTTGAGCTGGTGGCTCCACGTGAGCTTTTGAAATGGACGTGGTGGGAGAGGTGGGGAAGGGCTGGAGGAACACTCACGAGGTGGGAAGATGGAGCGGTGATCGGGGGAGCGACGGCAGCTCCAGTCGGAAACTGCCCCTTGGAGGCAGGCAGGCTTGCTTCCTGGCAGTGACGCCAGAGCATGTGGCCCAGAGGAGGAACAAAGGCTGGGTGCTCCTTTCTAAGTGTGACGGTCCCTTCAACTCCCAGAATGCCTTCTCTTCTTTGGCACAGGCCAGGCTTCCTCCACCACTGCTCATAAAGCTCTTCCCCGGATGCAGTTGGGCTGGGCCTCGGAATCATACCCACAATCTCCTCCACTGCTCCTGACCCCCCTGAAATGTGAAAACCCACAGGCAGGCCAGTGGGGAAGCCCCTATTCGCCTTCCTCAGTGAAATGACTGTCTCCAAGAGGCCACCTGGGGTCCAGCACTTGCTGGCGAGGGGCAATGGTGTGGGGCTGTCTGTGCTCAGCCAACACCGGCCTGGCCTGCTGGCTATGAACGCGGTTCTGCTCTTACCCCCAGAGGATGAAACAGTCTTCCCAGCCACATTTTCGAGTAAGCCTAATCCTATTTGCAATTAGCTTTGCTTTAGTTTGCAGGGTTTGAGGTTGGTTTGGTATTACGTGTATGTGTGTATGTGTGTGTGTGTGTGTGTGTGTGTGTGTGTGTGTGTGTGGCAGGGGCGGGGAGGGCAGTTGGTGTTAGCTTTTCAGTTCAGCAGTGTTCACATTTACACGAAATCCTCCTGTCTAGGATTTCCAAATCTCCTGGCTGCGAGGCGGCCTTGTTCAGCTACTGTTACTGATTTCTCCCTCAAGAAAGACACGACCAGGGAATAAAATCGGTAAGAGAGACTCTTATTCTCTGGAACTTAAAGTCTTTCACCAGAGGTGTCTTCCAGTGTAACTTGGCGGAGCGGTTGGGATCTGGAAATAGGAATAACACACTAAGAACTCAGCTTTGCAAAGTCAATGTCAGAAACCCATTTGTTAGCAATGTACCAAAGCTAAGTTAGCTTGCCTTTTCCTAAAGGGCTGAATAACTCCCAAGAAAAGCAGCAACCACTGTGTGTTAGCTACAATACTCTGCTCCAGGGAAGGCTGTCTGCCCCTCTTCTATAATCGCACACCCGAACAAATGTTTCCTTACCCAGAACCCACATCACTTTCTAAGTCCACGGTGTTTTTATGTACATTGGCCTTGACTGGACACAGAGGGCTTAAGAATGACTGGTGGGGCTAAATTTATTAAAACCCACAGGTCAAATGCTTGAAATTCAGGCTTTTCTTGGTACCCAGTGACAAACAGGCCCACGGATGGCTGGTGCTCTTCATGAATGCAACCCGCGAGCCTATTGCTTTGAGCCCCTCCCATCCCAGTGCAAATGATGCCTCTCATACCAGTCAAAGGCCAGGAAAACCCAAGTTTCCTCTAGAGATCAAAGACCATCTCTGACTCCCATTGAAAATAAAGAGTTATGGAATTGGCACATGATGTAGAGAATGGAAATCCAGTCTACACGTGTAAACTGGTTCATGTGTTGTTTGTAAAAGAAGCATGTAGCTATGTTTGAAAATTAAATGTGGGAATGAGAGTGCAATTTTGGATCGCTAGAGAAACAAAATGATGTAATTCCATGGAGGCAAAATGTAAATGATGACAATTCTGCTGAAGGTCTGTTTGGCATCAGATAGTATCTATTTTTGTGTTTGTGGGAGAGAAATGATAATCATTTCAATTTCTTAAATCTTTTAAGGAGTGGGGAGGGTGGGGGAACCCGGTACCCAGCTGGGGCATGGGGCAGGAGGCTCATCTAGGTTGGATGCCAGCAAAATCTGCCAGGGTTTTGTAACTCGGGGCTTTTCCTAAAAGTCACTTCCCAAGGAGAATGTGGGTGGGGGCACCTCCTGTACGATGAAAAGAAGAGAATTCACTGGGTACGAGAGCCCCAAGAAACAGGGACTCGTTCAAATGATCTACAGATGGTCAGCTAACTACAGGGAGGTGTCTCATGCATGGAGAAAGGGGGCGAGAGGAAGGAAGAGAAACGGAAACACTGCATGCATCCTAGCTGCAAGGGGTGTCGACGTGAGCTGCTCTCTTTGCAGCCCTGTGAGCAGCCTCCACAGAGTGGTGTACCCCTGTCGAAGCTGCCCCCCAGTGCTGACCACTCCAAGGCTTCCTGCCAGAACATCACCTCTTGATACTTACAGTCCCCCCGTTGAGCACAACGGCCATCTCAGTTGGCTGATACACGTTGCTTCTGAACGGAGCGCTGGGTCTGTTTCCCAAGCTGCCATTGCGAAATCCTGCAGTTCGGAGAGCTGAGGAAGGGAAAGGCAACACCACAAAAAAAAAAAAGGACACAGTTTTGAATTTTGTTTTCTTCCCCTGCATCAACACCATGCTCCAGGCACACCCCCGCCCCCCTCCGCTCCTCCCCTTTGTCACAAGCCAGATTCAAAACAAGAGTCACAAAGGCGCTTTGTTCTTGGGTTCTCTTGGAGCCTGACCCATCTCAGTGGGGTTGGGGAGTCTGCAGAATCCAGGGCGCAGGCAGCTCTCGGGGAGGGCACCCAGGGTGGAGCCTCCCCCTGCACCCCCAGAGGGCCATGGGTGACAAAGGCAGCGCCTGCATCTCTCACAAGCTCTCTTCTGACAAAAGACCTGCTCACTGCTGAGTGCCATCCATGTCAAGTTCAACGCCAAACTGTGCAACACAGTTTCTGGACACACACAGAGGTGGGCAAGCCTGAGGTGCTGGACCACAGGTACATGGTAGAGGTTGGACATCTTCCTGGGAAAGTGACGCGGGAGAGGACGGAGGGGCCCCAGGCGTATGGCTGGGGTCATATCTGGACAGGAAAAAAGGGAGATCTGAAGCAAAGGCAGCAAAATCGGTCTGCTCTTTTTACCTCTGAAAGGTAAATGATGTTTCTTATTTGCAGTGCATTTTTACACATCTAAATTTCCTCTTTTGGTGAAGAAAAATCAAATGACACAAAGACTTGGATGAACCATGAATGTGTTCAGTGGGCTATAAAATCTCACATTATATGATTCCAACTATAATATTCTGCAAAAGGGTAAACTGTAGAGGCAGTGAGAAGATTAGTGATTGGCAGGGGTTTGGGGGGTGTACAGGGCATTTTTAGGGCATTGGAATTACTCTGGGTGATATTGTAACAGTGGAGACATGACCTCATGGATTTGTCCAAGCCCACAGAACTGTATAGAGTGACCTCTAGAAAGCAAATTATGGACTTGAGTTAACAATAATGTATCAATATTGATTCATCCATTGCGACAAATGTAACACCAATGCAAGTTGTTAATAACAGGGAAAACCAGGGGGGATGGGCAGGTGGGAACTCCATGTACTTCCTGTTAAATTTTTCTGTACCTAAAACTGCTCTAAAAATAGTCTATTAAAAGATAACAGAGAAAGAAGCAGCACTATAAAAAAATCAAAACAAAAGTCTGTCTCAATTGTGAGCTGTTGCCTTCATTATCTTCCTTCTCACTGAAGACACTTATCTTACTTTGCTAAGAAAACCCTCAATTAAAGTCCTCCCTGAAGAGAGTCATTTTTTTTTTTTTTCTGACTAAAAAGTAGTAAGAGGACTTGGGATTTTTACCAATTAAATTACTTGGGGAAGGGACCAAAATCACCTTGATAGTACAGTTAACCTTCACAGAGTGCCAACCAAGAGCCAGGGCTGGTTATAAAAAATGCTTTATATGTATTATCTCATTTCATTTTCATAGCATAGTAGGTTCTTTTATTATTTCCATTTTACATGGGGCACAGAGTGATTAGGACACTTGCCCGAGGTCACACAGCTGGTAAGAACCAGCATTTGAATCCAAGTAGACAGAATCGGTTTCCTTGACCATCACGCTATTTGGGGTCCAAATTCGATGTTTTTAACGACTACACTTGGTTACTTAGGAGCAATTTGAATTTAAGTGACATTTGGGGCAGATCAGCCCAGACTGAACCAAGAAGATACAGGCAGAGTGCAGAACGCATGTTCTAAAAGACTTGTGAAAACCTCTTTGCTTTAGCACCTTCCAGCCTTCAGTAGCTCCCACGCGCATACTGACAAGGAGCTGCCCTTCCTGGGGAGCTGAGAAGAGGCAAACAGGGACCAGGGGACAGACAATCCCCGGACCCTCACTCTCACCAGTCCCAATTCCGAGCAGAGACCTCCTCGAAGAGAGGGAAAACCCAACAGCACGCTTTCCTCATAAAGCAGAGGCTGGCCAGCTGCAGTGGGGGAATGTGGCTCTAACATTCTCTTCAAAGAAACAAAGGCTCAACCGGATCAGTGGGTGCCCTGGCCCAGCGACCCCTCTGGGTAGTGGTTGTTTGGAGTGGTTCTCCTCTGGTAAACATCCCTCCCATATTCTGGGTCCCTGAGTACTGGCTACAACTGCATCCTCCCCAGGCCTTGAGGTGGGCATGTGACTTAGGCCTGGCCAGTCAGGTCCAGTCCGAGCTAACGCTGGGATTTTATACTCAAGCATCCTGGGAAACGATCCTTTTCTCTAGTAGGACTCTGTGTGAGTCCATAGCTGCTGTGATTCTAACAGAGCCAAGAGATGGAGAGAGACTGAATCTTGGCATCACTTGAACCTCCTGTATCTATCCATTTCTGAAGCCTGATCCCCAATTGTTTACTTAAATTGCTTCAGATGAGTTTTTTTTTTATTAACTTGCATCTTCAAGGATCCCAACTGACAGCCCACTCTGACCCAGAGGTGAGCCCTCTGAAAGGCAAGCAGGGCTCACCTGCAGGGAGGTCCCAAGAGGAATCTAAGAGCGTAGGCTAAATGCCAGCCCTCTCCTATAGACGCTACAAGTGAGGCAAGACTGGGTCCTGCCCCCAGAGCTGACACAGGGCCGCCCACTGGGCAGCGAAGGGGCACAGAGTTTAAATCGCCCTTGGCCTGACGAGATCCGAAAGCCCAAATCCCCTCTCGGAGGAAAGAACACTTTTCCTTCCTGCTCCTTTGGAAGGTGAACGTTTCATGCGCCTTGTTAGCGCTTTCCAAAATGTGATCTGAAGTGCCATATCCTTTAGAGTATTTTCATCTTCTGTCACATACCTCATGCCCTGTTGATGCTTATTAAGAAACAGCAGGCTGCTGAAGTCCTACATACCCGGGGTCCCACTGGGGGAAGCAAGCAAGGCGGCAGGGGCTGAGCCGCAGGCCAGCCTGGGGCATACCCCTCCCGTCTCTTGACCCCAGGGCTGGACTCTCAAGGGTAGAGAGCCCGAAAGGCTGGCTGGTTAAATTGCAGGAGAAACAGCGCCCGCTGTAGCTCCCGGTAAGGCCCCATGTAGGGCCTGGTTCCCTAAAATACAGCTGGCTGAGGTCAGACCAAAGATGACAACAGCTGTTCTCACCATGGCCAGGAAGGGTGCCCAGGCATTCCCCAGCCAGCAAAGTAGGATTTCTAGAACAAAGGCAATCCTAGCCAGGATGACTATTCATTCTCTCTCTGTGAGCCTTCCGAGGGAATTGACTTTGCCTGGTGCCCACGTGAGTTTTGGTGGACACACATTTGGGAGAATGCAAAAAACAGGGCTATTAAAAAAAAGTCTGACAATATCCAAGGTTGGTGAAGAAGTAGGGATGGGGGCTCTCAAACAATTATTCAGGGAAGACTAAATCAGCCCACCTTTCTGTGGGGTGGCATCTGGCAGTATATATCAGGATTGAAAGGTGCAGATTGTGATGCATGTCTAGGAACTTTTTTGCAAGGAGGTAATTGATCAAGGACACAAAGATGAGTGGATAAGAACGGTCTCTGCAGCATAACTTGCATGGAAAACAAGCAGAGTATTCACCACCTAAGATCAGAAATAGCTCAGTTACTAAATCATCTGCCTACAGTGCAGGAGACCCGGGTTCAATTGCTGGGTTGGGAAGATCCCCTGGAGGAGGAAATGGCAAACCCACTCCAGTATGCTTGCCTGGAGAATCCCAGAGACAGAGGAGCCTGACAGGCTACAGTCCACGGGATTGCAAGAGTTGGACATGACTTAGCAACTAAACCACCACCAAGAACAGGAAAACAAATTGTGGTGCCTCCTGGAAAGCTCTGTCTCGTGAAAAGGACAGCTCTCCAGTTGTTGACCTGGAAAGGCCTCCCTCCACGATCCACTGTCAATTTAAGCAAGCGCGTTGCAGACAGCCTCTTAGACAACCAGTGCTTTCAACCTGGTTACATCTTAGAAGCACTTGGAGGGCCTAAAATACTTGAGCCCAAATAGACTTACTCAATCAGATTGAGGAGGCAGGCGCTGCTAATTTGTTTAAAGCTGCCCAAGAGACTCTAATGTGCAGACAAGTTAAGAGCTGCTCTGCTGGATTGGTGTGTGTGGGTGTGGGTGTGTGTGTGTGTGTGCGCGCGCGCAAGGTGGGGGTACTGTGTCTGGCTAGACAGGCGCCAACAGTCAGCAATAGTTGCCTTTGGGCAATGGGATTCTGAGCAATTTTTATTATTTTCACTTGCTGAACTCCTGATTATTGTTGATCTTCTGTCATCAGAAAGGAATAAAAAGGTTATTTTTGCTTTGGAAAAGAAAGAGGGGAATGAGGGACAATGTCCTTGGCTCTGGAACCCAGAGTATGAAACAGGTGGGTGTGTGGGCACCTCTGAAGCCCCATTACCCTCTGTGCCAGTCCAGGCACTGCTGGTTCTGATGTGGGTCCCAAATCGCTTTGATCTTTGGATCTTACATGGGTATGACATAGTGACTGCATTTTCACAAGAAAGGATGCAGGGCATTCAGAAAATCAACCTCCCCTCTCTCTACTCCACTGTGAGCCTGAACAAGTTGCCGGACATTCCTAGACTCAGTTTCCTGCTCTGTAAAATGGGACTGATAATCCCTGTCTTCTCAAGGCACAGAGTTGCTCTGGCACACCTGTGAGATGAGGGACGCTGAAGAGAAGTTCTGTGGCAGAGTGGTCAGAGTGGGCTCTGGAGCCAGGCTGCCTGGGTTCAAACCCTGGCTCTGCCTCTTAGGCAAATTGTTCAGCTCCTCCATGCCTCAGTTTCTTGTCTGCTCAATGGACCTCACTGAGTTATTGCAGGCATTAAATGAGATTAGTTGCTAAAATGCTCAGAATGGTACCTGTCCATCATAAGTACCCAGTAAAGGTTAGCCATCCTTCACTTTTGACACCCCTAATACTTGTAGGTAGTTCTAGCACCCCACTCATTCTTGCACTGCAGGTGAACTAGACCATCACGTTCAACAGCACTGACTCTTAACCTTCTAGGGATCACAAATGGCTTTGAGAATTTGACTAGACTAATTGGGCTAGACTAATTGACTAGACTAATTTGACTAGACTGGGCAATTAGCAATAGACTAATTGCCCAGTGAATGTATAAAGCTCTACATCCATTTCAGGAGTTCCTGTTACCACTAAAGTCCAAGGGGAAGTTTGTGAGTATCAGATAAAGAGGATCCTATTCCAGGAGAGGCCAGGGAAGAGGTGGCTCCACCAGGACCCCAAGAACTGGTCAGGTGCCCGGCCTCTGCTTATCATATGCCCCGAGGGACCCTCTGGGCTCCTCGTAATGACCCCCATCTCCTGGCCACCAGGGGAGTCAGCCCCACCAGAGCTGTGGCTCATCCCTGTCAAATCTCTCGACAAACATAGGCTTGCTGGCCTGGGGCTTCCAGTAAGAAGGAAACTGCTCTGATAAAGGCCACCCCAGGACTGTGATTCTACCCATGGTGGGGGGAGGGGGAGTGATGGGGGGTGGGTTTGTCATTCTCCTGGGGGTCTGACCAGGAGCAGGGTGCAGAGGCAGCTGGGCCCCTCCTGGTGGGAGGAGGCCTGCGGGTGGCCTTGGAGGACCTGGGGGCTTGATGTGTTTCCCCTGGCCTGTGGGGGTGGGCGGCTGTGCTGAACCCAAAAAGGCTGACTCTGCAGAACAGACCACCACCCAGGCACCTGGGTGAGCGTCACAGAAAAGGGGATTCAATCATTCGGAAGGGGCCACCTCCTATGTCACTGGGCAAGACCAAATCTCTTAGAGCCTCTACTTATTCCTCTGTGAGATGGGGATAACAACAGACCCTACCTCGTCAGCTGGAGGGATGGACTAATGAGATAATGCAGGTTAAGGAGTTAGGGTCTGGCATGTAGTTAGTGTTCAAAAAATGATGATTATACTAGGTTATTATTACTACTGCTGCTGCTACTGCTACTATTATTATTATAGCGCCTGAGGTATAGGTAACTTTCTCTTTAGGTAACTGAGAAAAGGCACTTTTAATTAATGTCAAGTACTGGGAACCCAGCTGACTTGCTTTAAGCAACAACTGTAAGAGGCACTTCTCCAGCATCTCTAGCAGGGGTACCTGGGGCCTGGGCCGTTTCTTCTTGGCTCACCTGGGGGATCCCACCGCAGTAGTGGCACACAACCTGGGTTTCACAAACCTGCCGAATCTCTGCTTTTCTGTTGGCGGAGCTAGTAGAACTTGGTTAGCCCATTTATGGGAGCCCTGGGGGAGATTCGCAGCGGGAGATAGGAGTTGATGGGCAGATGCCACAGCCTCCTGTCCTCCTGGGATCAATTCTGAGGCTTGTTCTACACGTGTCCCTGGCAGGAATGAGCCCCAGCTGCCCAAGGTGGTAACCAGCTCTTGATGCTCTTGTTCTGGCATTTCTGCCTTCCCAGTCTCATTCTCCCCGGCAGGGGCGACCTTCTAAGTAAACTACCTGCAGCAAGTCTCAGGCTCTGCTTTCAGGGGAACCCAACCACGTACACATTCAACAAGCTAGGGGCCGTGGGGGCCCCTCGATACCTCAGGACTCACAGCAGCTTTATGGGGCACACAAGTCTACATCTGTGAAGGGGCAGGATCCCAACCCGGACTCTGACTCCAGGGCCCAAGTTCATCCACTCCTGGAGACAGAGCTAGAGGCAAGAACACGAGCATTGCCTCTCAACATCCCCTGCATCCAGCTAGCACAGGGGCTGCAAATTCAAACACTTCCAGGAAGCAGGCAGTTGATGTTGATGTGCTATAGTGGCTGGGACAGGGAGCCACGGGGAGTGTGAAAAGTGAAAGTCACTCAGTCATGTTCGACTCTTTGCAACCCCATATACTATACAGTCCATGGAATTCTCCAGGCCAGAATACTGGAGTGGGTAGCTGTGCTCTCAGGTCTCCTGCATTGCGGGCAGCTTCTTTACCAGCTGAGCCTCCAGGGAAGCCCAAGCGGAGTGTAGTGAAGAGAAAATGCATGCCCACCTAAAAGGCCACCACCTCCCACAGGCCTCCCAGCCAGCTGCAGACAATGGTGCCAGGTGGGAACGGCAGCCCAGTATTGCCAGATCCAACTTTTCAAAAAAGGCCAGGAACCTGACTTTTTACATTAAATTAGTTGAGAGTGCTAATTAAGTCTCCTCCCAGGTGGCTCAGTGGTAAAGAATCCGCCTGCCAATGTAGGAGACACAGGAGACGCGGGTTTGATCCCTGGCTCAGGAAGATGCACTGGAGAAGGAAATACCCACTCCAGTATTCTTGCCTGCAGAATCCCATGGACAGAGGAACTTGGAGGGCTACAGTCCATGAGGTTGCAAAGAGTCAGATACAACTGAACGCGCATGCAGGCATGCACGCTAAATAAATTGATAATGCTGAATCTCTGGGGGCCAGTTTCAGCACAGGGCTCAATGTTTGTGGGCTCTGATCTGCCAGGACTCCCCCCAGGACCTCTGATCCCCAGTGGAGGTAAAGGAGCTCTTTTGGGAGGAATAGCCTAACTCAGCGGGACAGTGCCCCCTTTACCTGCATTGTGTTCATCCATTGAGAAGGCTTTGTTCTCCATGTAGGTCCGCGGCAGCTGAACATCCTCCTCAAACGCCGTCTCCCGCATCCTTGGCTGTGACGTGTCGAAGTAGTTGGGCGTGTTTTCCTGTGGGGCTGGCAGAATGGTGCAGTGGATCTCCGGGATGGCGTGGAAGATGACAAAGACCCAGCCACTGGCCACCAGCGTGATGGCCAAGGTGGGGTCGCCCCAGGCATCTCCCTGTCGTAGCTCGGCATTGCCAAAGAGGTACATAGTCATCCAAGCCACCCAGATGAGCACGGACAGGAAGGCCGTGACCAGGATGCAGACTCCGTTCTGCTTCCACTTCTTGAACTTGCCACACAGCGAGAAAAAGGCCAGCCCCAGGGTGGCCACCAGCAGTACCATGTCGTAGATGAGGGCCATCGCGAAGTCCATGGGCTCGTAGGCACAGGCTGGCTTCGCATCTCGGAGCACGGTCAGCACCAGCCACTCGACGGCGATGATGACCTGCACCAGCATCAGGCACAGGGCCATGCCCAGCAGCTGCCAGCCTGAGGGGCTCTTGCCATGGCGCACCAGCCTTCTCACTCGCCACGCCTGGCTCAGCAGGCAGGAGAAGCAGAGCGCAAAGAGGACGCCCCAGAGGAACCGGCGCACCGAGCAGATGGTCTCATCCTCCCGGATGATAAAGGCGAAGGTCAGCCCAAAGAGGCCCAGGGTCCCCAGGAGGAAGAGGAAGTGGAGGCCCACGGGGTCCTTTTTCTCCTTGTCCTTGATGAACGGCAGCCGCACCAGCAGGATGAGCATCAGGAGCAGCGTGATCAGGGCGCCCGCCCCGGCCACCGCCTCCACCACGATGCCCCAGATGGTGTCCAGGTCGCACAGGGACACGTACTGAGGGAGAAGGTCCAGCCCGCAGCCCCGGGACGTGCTGGCGTTCTCAGAGGCCCCGGAGGCAATCACGAAGAGCAGGAGGAAGGCGAGCGCCTGGCGGGTTCTCATCTTTCTCTCTGATGCCACCGCGAAGGTTCCAGAAAAGTTGGGGAGAGAAGACCAATTCATGATGAGACTTCCACTCTCCTGACTTCTTTAAGGAGAACCTACGTCCCTTCAAACCCACCACCAGCCCCTTTCTCCAGGCAGCACAGCCTGGCACCGGGAGTGGGTGAGGATTTTGGTCCCCATCTGCCCCCTTGGCTGGACTCGGTGAACAACCATGAACCGTCAGCGCTAGCGGCTGGAGGAGAGGCTCCCTTTCTCTGAATACCCTGTCCTAGTCTTTGAGTGTGAGGCGTGTCTGACCTCTTTAAAAATAAGGGAGTAAAATGAGACTCGAAGAGATGCTCATGGGCTGAGCGCTCGCTGGGAGAAGGACAGGCCTTGTGGTTTCGGTCCTTCAGTGCTAACAGCTGACACTCCGCGATGACTCAGCCTCGGCCAGGCACCCGACACAGCGAGTCCTCACGCCGGTGACAACAGTCTTGAGGAGGCTGGGACACTTGCCCAAGGTCACACACTCAGCTCCTAGAAGCACTCCCTCTTAGAAGCTTCCCCGCATTTCAAACACAGTGTCAACTGTCTTCCTGGGTTCCACACATCCTACCCTTCTCGCAAAGATCTCCCGAGAATCCATCCTCTTGCTGCAGGGAGCCCCCCGTCTCCTGGAGAGGCCTGCAGGACGCCCCAGAGACGGGCTTATTAACCCGAATCTCCTCTTTCCTCCCTGCTTCCTGCGCTTGGACCCTTCCCACCCCCGCTTTCATGGAAAACTGCTCCTCCGCACCCTGGTCTCAGCTCTCCTGCCATCCACTCAGACCTTGGCCAAGGTCACACCCCCTCCCCTCCCCAGCATGTCTTGTCTATTTCTTAGGTCTAATCGCGTCTGTCATCCTTTCGCCTGCTTGCTTTGTTTCTCCGGTCCCTTCCTCCTCTCCTCCCTTCCTGTCGTTCTTCGCCACCAGCTGCAGGAGGACGGGGACACTGTCTTGTTCATCAGCACAAACCAGGGTTTCTCAGCCCCGGGATCACGGACACTCTGGGCCCGAGCCTCCCTTGTTTGGGGGTCTGTGCATTGCAGGAGGTGGGGCAGCACCCCTGGCCTCCACCACCTAGGTAACTGAAGCACACCCTCTCTCCTAGCAGTGACAACCCCAACATTTTTTAGACACTGCCAATGTTCCCTGGGGGATGGGAAATCACGGAATGAGCACCGCTGGTGAAGAACCAGCACCAAGTAGATGCTTCTTAAATACTGCGGGGATGAGACTTCTCAACAGGGCTCTCTTCTACCCACTGCCACCAGGCCCTTACTTTTGCAGGGAACCTGGCCTTGGGAGAGCCCTGCCTGCCCAGCTCTGCTGTGCTGCGCTTCCGGGCATCTTAAGGCAGACTTAGCTCCGCCCACAGTGAGGCTGTAACCAGCCACCTCCCAGGCAGTTCAGCACATCCCTGGGGCTTTCTTAAGTAAATGCAGTATCGACCACTTCTCTCTCTCTCAGCTACTTGATGGGATATAGTGAGCAGCTCTGATCCTGCCTTGGCCGCAGGATAAATTATTGATGCCACAGAATGAGAAGGAGCCTGGTGCTACAGGGTGATCCTTCCTTTGCCCAGAGATGAGAGAAGGCAGGAACAGAGGGTATCTGACAAGAGATGCTCCTGAAACAAGCACCCAGACAGTGGTAATCAGGCCCCTGGTCCCACCACTCTTCATGCCGTGTCAGTCAGAAAAGTGCCACCTCAGCTATTTATGCCTTGTCTACACACCCCCTGTAAGTTACTTACTTAACTGACTCACCATGGTCTCTTGAAATTGACTCAGAAGAAAGCTCAACACATTGGAATACCTGTTGATGGAACTCATGTTGCATCCTCATTGCCATATCCCAATGTATCACCTTTGGAAAAAAATGCTGTCCTAGTCAGAGCTGTTTTATCACAAGAGCACACTTGGGATCAAAATTTAAGAACCAACAAGCCCAGAAAAAAAAAATTTTTAAACTGGATATGCTGGAACAAAATGCCATTGGCCCCTGACACATTGTAGTGGATTTCCTCTAGACCTCTCATCAACAGCAAATGTGATTAAGAGACTTCTCAGCAAGTGACAACAGAACACACCCCAGGCAGCCTTTCTAGCTCATACAGCAGCCAACAATCCCCAGGGCGGCTGGGAGGAGACAGGGAAGAAGGTGCTTCTGGAGTCTTGACCATCAGCCCTCTCCTGAACTCTCCCCACACACCTCCAGGCCAGTGGTTCTCAACCAGGGTGATTGTGATCCCAGGGAACACTGCGCCACGTCTAGGGACAGTTCTGCTTGTCACAACTGGGGAGGGAAGTGCAACTGGCAGCCTCTAGCGGGTAAAGTCCAGGCAAGACGCTAAGCATCTCGTGCTGGAGAAGACTCTTGACAGTCCCTTGGACAGCAAGGAGATCAAACCAGTCAATCCTAAAGGAAATCAACCCTGAATATTCATTGGAAGGACTGATGCTGAAGCCGAAGCTCCAATACTTTGGCCATCTGATTCGAAGAGCTGACTCATTGGAAAAGACCCTGATGCTGGGAAAGACTGAAGGCAGGAGGAGAAGGGGATGACAGAGAATGAGATGGTTGGGTAGCATCATTGACTCAATGGACATGAGTCTGAGCAAACTCTGGGAGTTGGTGAAGGACAGGGAAGCCTGGTGTGCTGCAGTCCATGCGGTCACAAAGAGCTGGACACGACTGAGTGACTGAACAACATGCCTGAGATGGCCCTCAACACTTGAGTGATCTGGCCCCACATGTCAGCAGTGCTGAGGATGAGAAAGCCTGGTTTATATTGAGAACAGACTTGATGAGGAAGAAGCCAGGAGAGACCAGCCAGGCCTCTCAGCCTCATGCCTGCACCCCAGGTCGTTTCCTTGCAGGATCTAGACTTTTTTTAGCTGCCCTCACTCACTCTCTTGGAGGAATTCTCCTCTCTTCAGACCTGCCTACAAGTTGGAACTTGGTCCTGCCGGTTCATCCCTCGGTTCTGCCGGCTCATCTCTCTTCCTGACTGACCTTCCAACAACAACAGAAAAACCAATGTGAAGAAAATAGAAAGATGGCAACCAAGCTTCTGAAATTGTGTGGGTTCTTCTGGCTGTGGTCCCCGTCTCTAGCTCCCACTCCTTTCTGACATGGGAAATAGATGCACTCTTGCTTTCTGCTTTCATTCCTGAGGGTGGAACCCTTTCCTTTCTCCAGTTCTGAAAAGAGCTCCTGATTTTCCTCTGGAGAGCCCCCTTCAGCCCCAGCTGTGAGCCCCAGACCCAGCCCGGCCAATTGAAGCATTTATCCCACCCTTTGGCCGCACTGATTGGCCAATCAAAGCATTTATCCCACCCTTTGGCTGCACTGATTGGCCAATCGAAGCATTTAGCCCACCCTTTGGCCGCACTGATTGGCCAAACGAAGCATTTAGCCCACCCTTTGGCCGCACTGATTGGCTCAGGGACAGGCACTTGGCCTCAACCAGACCCATGAGAATCAGTCTTAGGATTTTTGCCAGAATTAACAGGAAAGAGGTTTTCTTCTGTTATTAGGGTTAATAAGCAGAAAGGAAGGCAAAAGGAGAAGAGGGCGGCAGAGGATGAGATGGTTGGATGACATCACCGACAAAATGGACATGAACTTCAGCGAACTCAGTGAGGGAGTGAAGACAGTGAGGGAGTGAAGACAGTGAGGGAGAGGGAGGCCTGGCGTGCTGCAGTCCATGGGGTCCCAAAGAATCGGACACAACCTAGCAACTGAACAACAACAACAAGCTAAAAGGATAGAAACCTGGAGCTGGAGAGGGCATATTTACCATCACAGGAAAGAACCTGCCTGAGAGGAAAGCGGGCCCACAGGAAATCATCACGTGATGATCAGGAGTCCCAATACACTGCAAGGCTGGATTCAGTTATGCCTGAAGCCAGATACCCTGGTCTTTGCACCTATAGCAGCCAATTAAATTCTGTTTTTTGGATTAAGCCATTTTGAGATGGGTTTATGTAACCTGTTAACAAAGAAGTTCTATGATGTATCCCACATGATGTGGCCCTCTTCTTCCAGGAAGTCCTCGTTAATCAACATCTAGGCACCAGGGGCTTTCGAAGCATTCAGTTGTCCCAAGTAGGTCATTATCACTGAGAGGGATGCCCATGAGGTGACAGTCATTGTTCTGCAGAACTCTGTCCGCGATGATCAGAAGGAGGGCTATACCACCTCACAGAATGAAGCTGAGTCCAGCTCATCTAGGCTTTCTGGGGGATTCAGAATTGCCCTGTGGAGTTCTCTTACTGCCGCAGTGAACACAACAATGACTGTTAACTCTCACAGGCTTTACAATGCTCTAGGCCGTCTGCTATGCACTTCACATATACTAACACCTAATCATCTGGACAATGACACCAGGAGGCAAGTGGTATCACTATCTGCATTTTACAGGAAATAAAACAGAGAGGCCAATTGGCTTATCCAAGCTAGGACAAGTTATACAGCTAGAAAGTCGTGGAATCAGGAGACAAACGTACTATTGTTACTGGGCTCTTCCGACAAACCAGGGCTCTGGAAATGTCACCGGGTGAGCCCTTCGCTAGCCAGTCTATCTAAATTAGGTTCCTTTTGCCCCTTTATGCTCTATACCAATACTCCTGATCTTTATGTTTGTAGCTCTATACCAATACTCCTGATCTTTATCTTTGTAGCATGTACCACAATTTTCAATTGTTTTTATTTTATTACTCTTTTGGTCTGCCTCCCCCATAGCTCCTTTTTGTTCTGCATCAATTCGCCAGCACCTGGCACACGGGCAGTGCTCACGGCCCAGTTGCTGAATGAATGAACTGATTAAATATGGTCTCCAACCCTCATGTCATAGGGCCGGAAGATGCTCTCATGGTCATCTTATAGAGGAGGGGACTGGGGCTTAAGTCAAAGTTTGACCCTCAGGCTGGCAACAGCAGCAGCATTGCTGGGAGCTTGTAAGAAAAG